CTATGAGGCATGCATCAATGGTGGGTGGCCCATTTTTAAAGTGGATCTAAATGGCTCTGATACCATCTTAGAATAGTAGATTTAAGCCTAACTCAACCCTACAAAACCGGCTTGTAAGGTGAGGGTTGCTTTCCACTTATATACTATTCAATTGCCTAATCTCTAGTCGATGTGGGACTTGATTTTTTCCCAATACACCCCTCACGTCCAGCACTATTAGGCTTGGTACGTGGATAAATGGTGGGTGGCCCTTTTTAATGATCTAGGATTGGCGGGAGTTGGGTTTTTCTCAATATACAACCTTTAGACGTCCTATTTTGGAAGTGATATGGTGTGTAAATACACCTAAATTGTAGGTTTGCCTAAAGATGCTTAAGAATTTTGATTCTTTTTGGGATGTAGTGGATAGACTCACCAAGTTTGCTTGCCTTACCCTTATTGATAATAGATATTCCTTGGAGAAATTGATAGAGATGTATATTAGTGAGGCAATGTGGTTACATGGGATTTTCTACTAGTATATTTTATGATAGGAAACATTTAGGAAAGTGTTATTTTGAAGTAAAGAGCAAGATGCATGAAGTTTATCCATTCAGGTTTTCGGTAAATTTCAGGGACGAAATTTCTAAAAGGGGGGAGAATTGTAACACCCTAGTTTTCATGCTTTTTATTGAGGGTAATTTAGTAATTTTCAGGGTGACTTAGTAGCCCAGAACAGGCCGTTCCCAAATTGGAAAGGTCGTTCCAAAATACTAAAACAAGCGTGATTTAGTAGCCTAGAATGGGTCGTTCCCAAACTGGAACGGGCTGTTCCAAATTACTAAAATGGCCTACAAATCCTAGTTGGAAACGGGGCGTTTCAAATCACCAAAAAGGCTTGTAACCCTAGTTGAGAATGAGTCGTTCTGATTTTAGAACGGGTCGTTCCAAACATGGTCGTTATATGTTAAAGTGCAACTTCAGAACGGACCGTTCTGGTTTTAGAACGGGCCGTTCCAGATGAGAATTTAATACATGATGAAAGGATCTAGAACGGGTCGTTCTGGCCACTCTTGAAATCTATAAATAGAGCACTCTGGCAGTGTTTCTGGACACACTCTCTAGAGACCAAGGAGAACCAAGAGAAGGAGATTGACCAGATTTTGCTCTAGCTTCGTCTTCTGCTCATCCAGGTAAAGGGGGAGTGAGAAACCTCGCTCGGGGGTGTGGGAATAATTGTTGGGTAATAGGATTGATCCCCAATCCCTTGCCTGATGCATGCTTCTAGGAACAGACAAAATATAAATGTTTTCTGATTATTTTGTTATGTTCTTTGTTGGTTGTGATGTATGAATATGTGATTGATTTTGAAAATAGATATATTTTGATATGAATTAGAGTGCTCTATGGGTTCCTAAGAGAACCCTATGAGAAACAGGCAAAATATGAATATTTTCTATTTTGCTTTTTGAATGTTCTGTTGCGTTCCTTATGTGATGTAGAGTATAAATATGTAATTGATTTCGAAATTAGATAAGTTTTGATATGAATTAGAGTGCTCTGTGGGTTCCTGTGCGAAATTTTATGAGGAATATTTATAAGTATCACTATATAAAATATGAACAAATGACATGAGACATGATGTGAATGAAATGTGCTATTGTGAAACGTGATGTAATGAGATAAGCTATGAGAATGTGAAATGTGATTAAATGAGATAAGCTATGACTATGAGAATGTGAAATGTGATGAGTGTGATAAGACCTGAAATTTCATGACAAGTGAAATGTTGAGTCAATGAAATCGTGATGTGTGACATGCAGCATGTGCATATATATAAGCTAACAAGGTGTACCTAAGGGTCACTGGTGATGTAACAAGCTAACAAGGTGTACCTTAGGGTCACTGGTGATGTAACAAGCTAACAAGGTTTACCTTAGGGTCACCAGAATAGGTTAACAAGGTGTACCTTGGGTCACCAATGATGAAATGATGAGATATATGATGAGACACGTGACTAGTGCCACATGTATTTATGAGTCGAGTCCATGATATCATTGCATGATAAATGAGTGTACATGTGACATTGATTATGTATGTGTATTGTTTATATGTGATTGGTGTTTATGACTTGTAATATGTTTGTTGTGTGTGTGTGCTATCTAACCTTTATTTCTGCAACTGAACCTAAGTGAGATGTTTCTCACTCCCATGTTGTTATTTTTCTGTGTTTAAATTGTGTTGCAGGTGATCATCAGCATGAGGATGTTGGTGATGAGGCTTAGGTTTCAGTTGGGCATGCTCTGATAGGATATGTGACATTGGGGCATAGCTAGGCTTAGTTTAGGATGCTATTTCCATTAAACTATTTGAAAACTCAGTCTTATTTCTTTGTAATTTCCGTGTTGAAGATATTGTTTATGAGTTTATGAATGTGAATCCTCTACGTAAGATATTTGATAATTTGGTTTTATTTATGAAAGATTTTAATTAAAGAATTTTTTTCAAATGATTGTATATGTATGTTGGGGTAGAGGGTATCACAGTGAGCGAACCATAGAGTAAACTAACACTAAATCATATCCAAAACCTTGAGAGATGTTAATAGATCTTTCTCATTTATATGTTACTCAACACAAACCTAACTCTATTCAATATAGGAATCTTATTCACACTTACATATCAAAACTCATCCCAACTTTTTTTTTTCATTCACAAAACTCTAATCTAAATTTTTATTTAAAAATATGAATTTATAAATTTCAATTAAACTAAGTTATTAATTAGGTAGGCAAAAACACTTGAAATGATAAAGACAAATATAAATATGAATATTTTATTACCTAACACATTCCATATCAATACTTATTTAATAGGAATTTATATATATATATATATATATATATATATATATATTATTCAGATAGAGAACTCTTCTATATAGCGCATTAATATCCGAACTCAATAATTTACACCATCTATTTGAATAATCAATCTCAATTCAAGAGGAAGAATTGATAAGAGACATAAAACCATCCATTCTGATTATATATTTATTCGTATAAAATGCTTAGCTAATTCTATGCATAAAATCAAAAAATTCTTTCTCATTCCAATTTTTTGATTTTTCCATTCATTTTCATTCTCTGTAAATCCCTCTTTCCGCCAAAGGCCAGCCAAAAGCCCACCTTCCAAGGTTTAAGATAGTGATATATATATTGTCTTGTAGAATCTGCCCATTGCAAGTGTCCGTTGAAACAAATATAGTCATTCATGACTAGTTCAATCTACCCATTTAATTCTTGAGTTTTTGCATTAAATGTTGTTTCCTATGATAGACCTTGCGTGAAGTCTTCTTTGCCTTGTTAGTAGAGTGTCTGAATTTAGCAGAGACCTAGGAACCTTTTTGTCCTTTTTTGGTCACATAGTTATAGAGTGTTGTCCTTATCTGAAAAAGTGATGTACTTTTTCTGACACATGCATGCTTTTGCCTTTGCGTGCTTTTCTTCTTCTTCTTCTTCTTCTTCTTCTTCTTCTTCTTCTTCTTCTTCTTCTTCTTCTTCTTCTTCTTCTTCTTCTTTTCCTGACCAAGTATTGCATTAGGTTTTAAAGTGGTTAACACATGCATCCACGTTTTTTTACTGTTACTACCAAAAAGGCTGCAAAAATGCACGTATTCATCTTTTGAAAAAGGTATCTAATTGTACCTATATAAATATATTAATACGGAGGAAACACACACACAACAAATTCATTTTTTCTTTTCCTCAATATTTTTTTTACTAAAAGTTATAATTTTGAAGCGGTGTTCTTTGGTTCGGGGATCTTTCGCTGCACTTGAACGGTCTAACGAGTTGACGTATCTTGGGAGAGGAACGCACTATAAGGCTCAAAATGACCAGTGCAGTGGGGGCATTTTCTCTCTAAGGATAGCGCTCTGCGTGTTTCAACTCAGGCTACTCTAAACTTCTTATCTAATAATTTTATTTACTCTTTGTGTTTAAATAGTTGTTACTGATTGTTCTGTTTTTAATTTTATAATATTCATTGTGTTGTTGATATTGATTTTATTGATAAATCTAAATATTTAATTTTTCTTGTACTCTATTAAATTTATTTTCTAACAATTCTTTCTACCATACTTCTGCCTTTCTCACTTCTCTTATCATCTAAACAACCATAAGGGTGAAAATCAAATTCGGAGTGTACGGAAAACATTTGTCTTAGGAGAAATTGCATCTTTTCCTAAACTCAGATCAGAACATAAAAGGTGAAATATGTGGCTAAAAAAATATCAAAAAGAAAGGAAGAAAAAAAGGATCGAAATAGCAATATAGTCCAACATCCAATTATTGCGCACATGCCGATAAAGAGAATAAAGTCCACATGTGTCACTCTCCAATGTTTTTCTTTCCTTTCCATCGAAACAGTGCATTTATATATAGCAGTTATCAGAGCAAGAAAGAAGGCTTGATGATAATTAATATGGAAGAAAGCAAAGGGAGAGTGTGTGTTACAGGTGGTACAGTGATTGTTCTGTTTTTAATTTTATAATATTCATTGTGTTGTTGATATTGATTTTATTGATAAATCTAAATATTTAATTTTTCTTGTACTCTATTAAATTTATTTTCTAACAATTCTTTCTACCATACTTCTGCCTTTCTCACTTCTATTCTTCATTTTATTTTTTTTTGTCATCAATAACATCTCTAAAGTATAATTTTTTTAATTTTTTCCTGTTATTTTTATTATCTTTAATATTGATAAGTTTTTTTTCGTATATATTAATATTGATGACTAAAAATAAATAAGAATTAAAAATAGATAATTTTTTTATATAAAAATTGAACCTTAAAATCTAATTTTTCTTTTTTTTTTTTAAAGTCTGAAATTTTACGGTAAGTAAAAATATATTTAACTGTATCTAGTATATTAATTTTAATATAAAACTAATATCATACTATAGTTTTACATACACAGTGCACAAATGACAAATCTTATTTTAATTATTTAATCATTGGGATATTTTGCAGGACCAGTATGAGAGAATCCAACATTATCAGCAACAGAGTCCTTATGAGTTATGAACTCCGAAAGTTAAGAGCACACTTTTACACAGTTCACTTCCATCTTTCATTTCTTGTATCTGCTAAGTGAAATAAAAAGGGAGAATCTGAATGGTTTCTGCTGTTAGTTTCAGTCAAAGCCTCGTTTTCTTGAAGCCATCATCTCAGGTGAAGTGTTGCACACAGTCACAGAACAAAGCAGCCACATCACATATTCAAACGAAGAAACGGTGCTTGAGATGCAACACCCTTTACTCAGATCAAGATAATTCTCCACATGCTTGCTCCTTCCACGGCCACACCAATGGTATGTTGTAATATATATGCAAATCATCACGCAGTTTTTCTTTGCCTAGTAAAATAATTAAGATAAAACGTGGATTCAATTTGTTAGGAACTTTTGATGTTTGTTATCTATTGGAATTTGAAATTTTCCCTCGAAAACTTGGATAATGAGGATTTACATTAAAAATCACCTTTGTTATTAAGGTAAGACTTTAATTTGATTAAAAAATTAAAAAAAATTATATGTTTTGTAAAAGAATTTATTATTGATTTAGCAGGCCAATTCTAAATGATTTATAAATAGATGAATGTTGTCTCTTATATTCTGTTTCTTACACTTTCTTTATTTTTTATTAAAATTTACTTAAAATAATCTTTTTATGGCTACTGTATCTTATTTAATAAGTTTTTATTATCATTCAGCTATGTAACCTACCAAAATATATATATATATATATATATATATATATATATTTAATTGGTCCATTAGATCTAACATATAGTTTCATGAACTTTATTTTTTGGTCCACATGGTTAAAAATACTTCACTTTAATCTCTCTATACATGTCATTTTTTTTCCTTTTAGTATGTATATAGTTGAATATTTTTACCTTTTAATCTCTGTAGAGATAGACTAATTCTTAATTTAAAATAATATTTAAATGATTGTTGTATGTCTTTAACATGTTCCATTTGTCTATAACACAAGAAACAACATTTTTAATTTCTATGATATGCTTTATTTGATTAAGTTTGCAACTTGATTCGAAAAATAAAGATAATAATTTTGATTATTAAAATGAATTGTAGAGCACAAGAAGGATGTTAGTTTTTTAACCAGCTTACCAGGAGCATCTCAAAGGCTACAAATTCACAGTGCTGATCTCAGCAATCCAGAAAGTTTCAATGCAGCCATTGAAGGGTGCATTGGAGTTTTCCATGTAGCTACCCCAGTTGACTTTGAATTAGATGAACCTGAGGAGGTAGTGACCAAAAGATCCATTGATGGTGCACTTGGCATTTTGAAGGCATGCCTCAATTCCAAGACTGTGAAACGAGTTGTTTACACCTCTAGTGCCTCTGCTGCGGCTTTCAATAACAAGGAAGTGTTGGATGAAAGCTGTTGGAGCGACGTGGATAGTCTTAGAGCTGGTTTATTTAATAATGGCAAGTCATATAATAAATTTTTAAGAAATTCAGCCTCACTACTAGCT